CGATTGAAGCAGTCTGTGTCCCCTCTGATCTGATTGGAGGGGACACAGACCGCAGCATGCAGCAGGCTCCCAGTGGGGAGGTAAACGGGGAGCAGAGCTGATGCGGCGTCAGGCTTTGAGGTTTGGCTCTCTCCTTACAGCTGGGCACCAGCTGCAGGGTCTTTACCTATTGAGGGGGACACAGATCCCATTAAACACTGGCTTCCAGCTGGGAGGAGAGAAGCAGAATCAACTAATAATAAGAATCTTTGACATCCATTCTCATTATCGAGTATCATCGATTAAATCAATTCGTTATTGCAGCCCTATTCCCAAATTGTTCTAGAAGCTCCTCTTTAGTTGTGTAGCCTCTCCCTCACATTGGGGTCTTGCACTGTACATGAGGATCATGAGGCCCTGCCGGGAAAGTGATGAATAAGCCAAGTATTCCTCTCAGTTAAACGCCTCTTAATGAGCATTAGACCATTAGTTTAAGGGGGGTCACAGGAGGGAAGTGGAACCAGAATATAATTTTTTATAAACGGACCGGAGTTCAGCTAGAATTCTGATTGGGCCCTGAATGTATTTCAGCAAAAAGAACAGCGTGACAGCCAGGAAACTATCATTCTTAGAAGGAGTTGTCAGCAACAACAGCCTACAGATTTCTTTCAATACTGGTTTTCTTTAACCCCTTCGTGACGGGAGACGTACACTGTACGTCCAGCCACAAAGGGACCAAATCTGTATGAGTCATTTCTAAAAAAGGTACTATATTTGTTACTATCAATGTGAAACCACTTAACCCAAAAACTACAATTTTAAAGAGTAAAGTCATTAAAATCCCCTGGGCTTTATTTAGACACATTCGCAAGTTTTCTTGACATCATGGTGACAGTGTGAATCAGACGTTAAAATTAGAACCTACAAAGAATAAAGAGTAAAATCCCGCACAGAACAGGGCACAGTACCTGTTTAATCTATGTAGTCTTAGACATAGAACCTGGGTAGGGGGGTACAGATTTAGCATGGGCACTGCTCTGTTTGCTCTTAATGAAACATCTTACCGGAGTGTGTATTATCTGGCCTGAGGGTTCGTCAGGACAGGAGCTATGAATAAATTCATCAACTCGTAATGCATTAAAATCAGCTGTATGGCATGCCAAAGATTCAATCCAAAGCCTTTTCATAAGCAGAGTGGGAGTCATTTCTATCTTTCAGTAACGATGACGGGGCTGGTCTCACAATTTTGATTTGTTAAAGGGAAATTAACAAGCAGGAACAGCTGACAACTGGCCTGGTTGTGCATCATAGTTAGGGATGAATTTACATATGGGTTTAGATTAGCACAATTTTTTTACTGCCTTGGTATGCTACACGCCAACACTTATCATAACAAAACTTGTACAGAAGAGTATATATGGGGCGCTTTCTTTTAAAGGGGGGTGAGCAAATGATTATGGCATCTAGGAGCCCGTCTGTCCAATCCAGGAGCCAGCAGGATTTTTTTTAGTAGCCAGCTCCATTGGCAACTTAAGAAAAATCTCAAAATTTAGGCGCCAGCTGAAATTTTTAGGGCCTGTTCACACGACGTCCGTTTTCTGTGCTGACCTGATCCGTACGCTCCTGCACTAAAAATGCATCCCAATGTATCCCTATGTGTTTTATGGGCTACAGTTCTCACGTGCGCAGTCCATTCAGGTTACGACAGAAAAAATACTGCATGTCACATGCTGCCCGGTCAGGAAACGGACCGAAAACGCAAAACGCGTCAAAAACGCACTGCACTGCAGCTAACATACTGACAGCCCCACTCCAGCAAAAAAAAGAAATCATTTTTTAAAAAATTGGAACGTGGCAAAAACGCACTGCATCAGTAGCACCGCGTCTGCAGATCCGCACCTGATATCATGTGAACAGGCCCTTAAGGAGCATTGGCTACCTGGCTCCTGGGATTTGTTCAGTCCGGATCTACACCAATGTAGAACAAACGTATACAACATTTATGTCTGGAAGGACTTTTCCCCCTTGATGATGCCAATATTTCACCCCCTTAATACCATTCTGATTGAGTTGGTAATCTATGAGAGTCAGTCATTATAGGCTTCACAACTGTTTCTCTCTGCTGTCTGAAACTAGTGCACACCAAAAGAACGAATACCCTATAAATCACCTAATAAACAAAAACTGCGAATTAACTGGATTTTGCAAATTGAAAGTCCGTTATCACAGAGCATGCCTGGAGGATTACATACAATTTTGACATCTATATGAAATGTGCATACGTGCTATAACTACTTTTACGTGAATGGAATAACTGATACATTTAATGACAACAGAGGTGATCCCTGTGATAAAGGTTCCTCAACAAACTTTGGTGCAAGAGTGGCATGCTAGAGTAGATTCCCATGTGAGCATGGATTGGCTTCCAGGCATAAAGTCACCCCAGCGAAAACTGCTCTCTCTCTCTGCTGACTGAGGGTCCCTATACTCCCAGGCCATTTGCTGACTGCAGGAATTAACTTAAAAGCTTTTTTTCAGATGCCTGCTAACAGTCAGCAAACTGTCACAGGGTACTGAATCAGCATTTACATTAGAAAGGAACTGTCTCTATGGCAAATATTGTGCAAAATCCTCGAGAGCCACTGGAAACAGGAGAGTTCAGAGAGGCCCAGTGACTGGCGAGCTGGACCCAATACAAGTTTGGTCAGTAGGATACTAAAAAGAGCACTGATGATATGCAAACGAAAGAATTTCATGGTTACCAATCAGATGTCATGTAACTGTTGATCAATAAATCTGATCGTTGTCTGCACTTCACTGCTCCTTGCGCTGGCTTACTGTACAAGTCCATAGTGTTGAATAGTCTCACTTTAATTGAAGTGGCTGTGACGCACAGTATGATAGCAGCAGCTGATCCTTGCCATTTCATTATAAGTATTATTAAGCCTTACCAGAAAGCAAATAAACTGCTATATAAAGACAGTGGGAGCATCAGGCAGTTTATATTTTATGCAGATGTAGCATGGTGTTACTCTAAGATTCAAGTATAAGTTCTAAGTATATTTTCACATTAGGTCATTACAATACATCACTACTGGCAGATTCTCTAAGCTGTAAGCTCCAGCGTGGAGAAGGAGCCTATTAACCCCCCTGCAAGAATAATAAAAATGGGTACCACATTTCAGAGCTCAAAACATTGGAACATTATCCTTTCTATAATTCATATTACTTTACATCACTTTTGTGATTGGCCTCCACAACAGCAGCTCTGTGTATCAGCAGCATACTGAGCAGTAGATCCTGGCTCCAGCTGCAGCAGCAACACTGCTTAAATCTTACCTTTTAGACAAAGGAAAATAATGACTACCAAACATCAATAAGGAGCTACTTATACATTTAAAAGGACATTTGAGTGCCATTTTTTGGTGATATAGGGTTCATATACAGTGCGTTATGTTAGATCTTAAAGCTGACCTCCAGGCAGATATAAAAGATACAAATGAATGCAGCTCTGTATTCATAATTACACCATCACATGTATTTTAAATGTATTTTAAGGTGAGCAGTGTAAAGTTGGCTGCCCACTCTTAAGGTCCCCATACACCCTGCGATTATCGTACTAAAATCGCGGGGAAATCCCGCAATCGTACGATAATCGGCAGGTGTATGGAAGGCTTGCGACCGTTTCTACTGCACATCTTTTGTCGAATGAACATGCTAGAAAACCCGCCGAGAATCGTACGATTGTCGGGGGGTTAGTGGCGTGCTTGTTCGACAACTGCGGAACGGGCCGGTGTGCGCACGCGATGGTTGTAAGGTGTATGGGCACCTTTAGAAAAAATCTAACTCTTGATTCCTCTCCCATCAACACTAACAGCAGGGGGGCCATTGTTCCTGACGGGCCAGATACTGGTTGAATTTGGCGGAGTCAGCAGCACCAAGTTAATGGCCTGAAATCAGCTGCTTGTCCTTTCCAGTCATAGGTTGGGGTAGGGACAAGACTTGCAAGTGTTATTTACCTGCAGAATAGGAAAAACCCAAGTCTCCTGGCCTCCCGCCTAGAGCTGTGAAAAATGTGAGGTCTGGATGGACAGGAATTCTCACCCTTTGGCAGCTCCCATACACTATATGTATTTTATCTGTCTTTTTAGCGGTTTACCTGCAGTTCAGCTCTAAACAAAATAAAGTCCCATGGCAATTAAAGATACACGCTAGACAAAAGTGCATTTTTTTTAATTTAAATGCACACAAGGGCTTCAGTTTTTGATGCAAGTACAGTAGGGGGCTCTAATGTGAAGGGGACTCCTAATGTAAAGGAAAATGTTGTGTGGTGTACGGATAGTTGGCACCAGTTCCTGCAAATACAGGCACTTATAACAGTCAATGTCCACCCGAGAAAATATATATAAAATGGACCATTGTGTTGCTGTCCATGTGTGTGGAAGGATTTTGAAAACATGGTAATGAGAAGTTGATCAGCATTTGCTGTTATTAAAGTATATACTGCAGCCTTTCTCATGGATGTCTTGAAATTTTCACACAGTGTCATGCCTTTCCATTTTGTAGATGGGCTTCTGATGCGAAGGGGGAACTCTGATGTCAAAAGGGGGACCTGATGTGAAGGGGGAACTTATGATGCCAAGGGAGGACTCTGATGTGAAAGGAGAGGGCTCTTATGTGAAAGGGCCTACTTATGTAAAGGGGTGCTCCTAATCTAAAAGGGAGGATTCTGATATAAAAGGGTGGGGGGGCTTTGATGTGAAGACGGAACCCCATTTTTTGGGGGTGGTTTGCGTGACACCTCCCTTAAAATCTATGCCAGACCCCTATCTGGGATTAGGGTCTCGTATTGATTTTGAAGGGGCCCCAAGTTGTTTTTTACATTTTGGAATGGGGTGCCCTGAGATCTTGCATATTTGTAAATGCTGATAAAATGTAATACGGCTGGGAAAGAATCGTTTTGAGTAGCAACCATTGAGGAAAACTTTTAGAGAACACAGGGGTGTCTGAGTATTACTCACCGTGACCCCTTAGTGCAGAACTGGAGAAGTCCCTGGAGCAGAGTGGCCATTGGGCATGAGGTCATCTTCAAGACTTCACTTGTGGCCTCTTGCAGAAGAGCTGGCCAGCGAGTGTCGGGAATCTTTGCCTGAATAAAGCAATATTTCACAGAAAATATATGCATGGCACATTACTTCATTTACTTTATTCAGCAGAAAAGCAGTTAAAAATCAATGTAGACAGCAAACTGAAATCAGCTGTATGTAGTAGGAGAGGAAATGCATTTGCTGCCAGCTCAGGGATTTTCCTTTAATTCTAATGTTGTACTGCATTTAGAGAACCCCACCGGTATCATACCAAGGTAAGGTGAGGTAATAATGATAATATATTTTCTCTAAATGCACAAAACCATTTGTGTATGTTTTATTCCATTTTAGGATGCCTAAGACTATGTTCAATGCCTCTGTGCATTGGCTTTTCTAACTCCCATATAGTACATAGTGTGCCCAAAATGCAAACTAATAACTCATGATTTCATGTGCTTTGGTCTTTTCTGGAGTATGTTAAATTATGCATTACCAGCCTGCCTTCTAAAAGCTGAATTCTGAGCGCACCTTCAGTCTTACACAGTTGTGCAGGCTTATGCCCTTCTCTGCAATTGCTTACTGTGATTTCACTACATACAATATGCTTACAGTGTGCATTAGAAGCTGCAGAAAAGCAGATAGAGTCCATCTTATTTCCTGTCTGAAGGGCATCCAGCATTATCTAGCCTTCTACTCTCCAGCATTACTGTCCCGGCTCCACCCTTTGAACTCATTGGATTTCACTTCTTTCAATCATGGAGGCTCAGCATCACATGCGAGCATTACCTAGGGCAGCCAGCCTACAAATACCTACTACTCCAGACTGACTTACAATTATAAAAGGAATTTAGATATTTGCAAAACACCTCCAATGATTCTGTCCGATCCTTGCATCAGGGCTGAGGGCTCGAGAGGAGTTTTAAAGTGAACACTATTCACTAAGCTTTGAGAAAATTGACTTTGCTAAGTGAACAGTCTGTATTTCTTTATTAAATCAAAACCAGTGTGAGGATACAAGAGAAGAAGAAATACAAGTCATACTATGGCAGCAACTGAGAAGTGATACATGATGGTTGTGGGAAACCAAGAAAGCAGTTTAATTCTTTAGTCTGTGATAGAAAATGACAGAAATCTGATTGGGGAGGTAAAAATAGAAATGCAAATTATGCTAAACTGCATGTATAACTCTTCATCCATCATTTCTGCACGCAATCTGCATTGTATGTGAACTATGCCATGCAGATGTCTGCATGTCAAATGGGGAAATCCTAGCATCTGGGCAGTCAGCATTCACTGTATTGGCCAGACTACGTTTTCTTTACCAAGGTGTGAAATCATAAAAGTGGTGGTGGGTTATTGTTATATGAAATACAACATGAATGTGTGTTGTGTAAGGGAGGAAACTGCCACTGAGAAGAAAAAGGGCTTTTTAATACAGAGTATTAAATAATGAAAAGGAAGGAGGGGTGCAAACTGACGCTAAGTGATAAAATGCTGCTGATGGAGTGAAATGCTTAAGGCATGATGTAATACACTGCTGGAAAGAGTGGCGTGCTTCACTAAAGGGAGAAGAGGTTGGAGAAGCCACGAGAAGTGAACAATCTAGACAACATAGCTAAACTGGAAAGTGAGCTGAATTTTTCCACATGAGCTATGTTGTCCTAGATTGTTCCCTTCTCCTGACTTCTCCAAACTCGTCACCCTTTTGTGAATAGACCTGTAAGGGTAATAATATGACATTGAGCAATATAATGTTAGTCACTGAAATAGCCCAGTCTGTGTGACAACCAAGGCTCCCTCCATAGATACAGTGAAGAAATGTGGGTAGAAATGAAGGGAATGGAAGTGTGTTATTTGCAGGATTACAAGGTGAAAATGAAGAGGAAAAAGCATGAAAAAATAAAACAAATGCAGCCAAAACATTTTAGGACTGGTAGGCCGCAATATATTAGGTTAAGATGCATTTTAAGAGCAACATCATTAAAAGTGTAACTGCAGTAAAAGAGAAGTAATATTCTTGTATCTAATAAAAAAATGATAAAAAAACTTTCTTAAGTTTTTAAAGAATCAAGAGAACTGTAATATTATAAAATACTACAAAGACCTCATTGTGAAAAAGAACCAAAGTAACCTGTAGCAAACCAGCACCCCAAGATGAAACCTGCCAACAGAAAGCAGTGCTGGAATGAGAGAACAGATACCTGACACATACCATACAAACTCTCAGCGCGAGAAGAGATAATCGCAGCAGGCTTGAGAGCTTCCCACTGAAGTTCCCTTGCTGTGATGCCAACTGAAGACTCTTCCTGTAGCACATCTCCGCATCCATCATCATTCCCTGGAACTGGTACACGTCAGCTAACCACTGAAACAATAGCAAGGTACAATGTCACTACAGAACTGTTCATTGCTAAGAAGATGAGGAATTCCTACGTAGGGCAAAGCTCATTACAACTGATGGCTAAACAATCTATATCAAATCTGCTCAGTTTTGTCAGGGTATTATTATTATTGTAAAGGATTCATATGGCGTTTACAGTTTGCACAGCGCTTTAGAATAGAAGGAAGACATTACAGTTACACTACAACTCAAGACGAGATGGTTAGGAGAGCCCTGCCCGAGAGCTGACTATGAGTTGAGAGAGTAATAGTTCAGTGGTTAGGTTGAGGTGGGATAGGCTACCCTGAAGGGATGAGTTTTCAGGGATTGTCTAAAGGCAGACAAAATAGGAGATAGCCGGACAGGTTGGGGTAAGGAGTTCCTGAGGATGGGATAGACTCTAGAGAAGTCCTGGGGGCGAGCATGGGAGAAGTTAACAAGAACGCTAGAGCGCAGGATCTTTGGAAGAGCGGAGGGGACGGTTAGGGTGATACTTTCAGACAAGGTTTTAGACATATCCGGGGGCAGAGTTGTGGATTGCTTTGTAAGTGTTTGTTAATATTTTGAATTTGGTCCTTTGGGCGATTGGAAGCCAGTGCAGGGATCGGCAGAGGGTGGTGGGTGATGGAAGCCAGTGCAGGGATCGGCAGAGGGGGTGGGTGATGGAAGCCAGTGCAGGGATCGGCAGAGGGGGGTGGGTGATGGAAGAGATGTTACGAAGGTGAAGGCGGCAGGATTTGGATAGTGATTAGATGTGGGGAAGAAAGGTGAAGTCTGAGTCCAGCATGACACCCAGCACCTTGGCATGGGGGGAGGGATGGATAGTTGTGTTATCAATCTAAAGGGAAAAGTTGGGGGAAGGTGCACGGGGGTGGTGAGGGTGGAATATAATGAGCTCAGTTTTTGAAAGATTAGGTTTTAAGTGTTGTGACATCCAGACTGATATGTCAGTTAGTAGATAAGTCAAGCAAAACAAAATGGCAAACGCACTCATCAACTTATCACCAGCTTTAAAGCAAGGTGCGCATGGAAGGGCTTTAAACAATACAACAGCAAAACGTTTCCCAGCACACTCGCCAGCCAGCATGCAAAAAAACTTGTCTAACAGCTAAGGTTAAAAACAGAGGTTTTCGATACATGTGCTTTAAAGCTGGTGATAAGTTGATGAGTGCGTTTGCCATTTGTTTTGCTTGACTGTTCTGTACTAAAAACTGCACAGCGAGTTTAAATCTAAACTGTGAGCATAAAAATTTGAATTTAAATAAAACGCTCAACAGCCATCAAGATATAAATCCACTTTGTATGCACCAAATGCCTTTGCAAACACAGTTATTACACTGTAAGTAGTGTTGATATCATCCCTGTGCTGTGCATAACCTGTGCAGACAACAGAGTTGTGGAAGGGACCCAACAGCTTCACTCACTTACTGGCTGCCTGCAAAAAATACAGGAGGGCCGGGGACAGACCACACACCCTGCACAAAGGGAGAGCAGCAGGTACTGGTCTAAATACGGAGGTAACATTTCAAAATGAACTACACATATTCACAAAGAAGTACACCAAGCAGACCAAGATTCAAGTAATACTCATGCCCCTTGCATTTGTTTATCTCAGATTTCATCTTTAAGTTGAGGTGTGCTTATATAATGTTAAAGTAGCAGTAGGCTGGGTTTTCCTTTTTTAAAGTTGTAATTTCATATGAAAAAAATAACACGTAATAAAAAATCATATACAACATATATTATATATACTTTTTAATTTTATGTGTAAGATCCCTGTACAGTTTCTAACAAAGAACATGAGCCACAATCTTTGGCTATGTACAAAACAATACTATTGATTCATGAAGTCAGAATATACTCTTTATAAAGGACATAAAGTTTGCTTTGTAGAACAGCTGTGCAATACCAGTGTGGGCTGGAGGATGAATCACTGAGCAAACCTTTTTTTCAGCAGCCTAAATTGTATTTATTTTTTTTCCACGGAGTCTCAAGGACACCTTCTGTGGGGGCTGACTGTATTGCGTGATCACTCATATAGCACTTATGTCTACATTCATAGCACCGGGTTTGTGGAGAAGTATTATGGGAAATCCCAAATTTTAGGTTACATGGGAAATTATCAATGTGGATACAACTAAGAGGGGATTTTCTTAAATAGTTATTCAGGTTGAAAAAAAAATGCATGTCCATCGAGCTCAACCTATAGAGATACGAAGAAAAGAAAAAAGAAGAAAAGCCTAAACAGAACGCTATGCCCACAATTACCCACTGTTGATCCAGAGGAAAGCAAAAACAAACTACAACCAACTCCTGAGGGGAGTCTATTCCACATATTGTGAAGAATCCTTTCCGTATGCAAAGGTTAAACCTCTTTTCCTCTATATGCAAAGAGTGCCCCCTTGTCCTTTGTAGTGACCATAAAATGAATAATTTGGCACCAAGTTCACTATATGAACCATTTATGTATTTATACATTCTTACTTTGGAGAGATTACCTTTTATTTCTTGTTGTGTGGACAGGAAGTCAAGGGAAACCTAATAGGACACAGACAGCCAACCCCCTCCTCCGAAAACAAAAAACCCACCTGATTGTTGTCTAAACCAGCCTTCCTCAACCAGGGTGGCTTGTGATGTCTTAAAAATCCAATACATTTTAGACTAGGGTGCCTCGAGATTTTCTACATCTTTGAACGGTGTTGTGACTGAAAATGGGTTGAGCAAGCTGGTCTAAACCATTCCCTACACTATTCCAAACAGAACACATTGCCTTTACATACACTTTAATGAAAACTAGCATGCGTTAAAGAAAGGCCTGTAATGTCTATTAGCATCTACCTCCTTAACCATTTCAGGACCGCCGAATGTACATAGGTGTCCTCATCCTGAAGTGGTTGTACTAAGATCGTGGCTGCTCCAGCCATGATATTAGTATGTTTTTTCAGAAGGCGATGGTTGCTACTTACAAATGATCTTGGAGGCTTTAAAGCCGCCTAGATCACTTGCAGCAGACTGCGAATGTATCGCCTATCGCCCCGCCTTGGTTTTCGAGGGTTCCCCGTTCCTGTGTGGGGGCCTGGGACCACCACAGTTTCAGGTTGGAGAGCAGGAGCAGACCGAGGAACATCTGTTCCCAGATCTGCTCTGTGATCAGTGAACCAGGGAGCACTGTCAGCTCAGCACTTCAGAGCAGTTCATTCTAGTGCTTGATCACCTGTATCAGAGGGCAGAAGAAACATCAGGTGTCTAAGAGCCCCTTGATGTATCCATAAAGAGAACCTGTCACCTCAAAATGATATCACAAATAAGTAAAAAATAATAACTTAACTAGAAATAAAATAAAAAAATAAAACCAAACCAGCTGCCCCTGCATGCGAATAAACATGCATGCATAGAGCATACACGTGTTTTCTCTAAAAATATTGCTTTGATAAACATTTGCACCATAAAAAAATGCAACTATATTTTTTTTACTCTACAATGCTTCTGCTTTCATAAAATATATAATTGTTTGGGGTTTTAAAGTAATTTTCTATTAGAAATTCTGAATTAAAAAAAAAATCAGATTTTAGCATGCGTGTGCAAAAATAAAAAAATTGCTCCAGTACTAAGGTGGTTAAAGCGATAAAGCCAAAAGGTTTTTAAGCTATTTAAAATGCGGATTAAATCAATTACAATGGATGCTGCTCCTTGATGTTTAAACGTTTTAGCTTCCTGCAGAATCAGCCGGTCTTCTGAGCACTGGTCCTGATATCCAGTTTTAGGTTGGCTCCTATGGAGCCACCCCCTTGCGTGTGTGTCTCTATGAGCACACAAACACAAGAAGGCAAGCCATTCTACTGCTCTCCCCTCCTCCCGGCTGCTGGAAATGTGCTGCCCCTTGTGTACTCAATGGGAAGTTCAGGGAAGCAGAGGTGAGAGAGCTGAAGCCAACTGTTCAGAAATAGGACAGATCTAAGTGCTTGGGAAAAAATGTAAAGATATACTTCGCTGGGCAATGTATATTGTATCTGGTTTCATTATTGAAAAAGGTTTGAGAGTGTCATACTTGGAAGTTCAACCAATAATTGATTAATGAAAACAGCCATATAACCCCCTGGACAGTGCGACTTCCACAGTGTCATTGGTAAATAGCTGGCAGCTTCCAATGCTGATTGCTGGACAGTGTAGACAGTAGCCAAACATGGTGCTATGCATTTATCAAGGTACATGTGTTAAATGGCACATAAAAATTTAGAAAAACATATCAATCTGTGCTATGAGGGCCCTTATCAGTCCATCTAATCTTCTGTGATCACCAGATTAACCTGCAGCTGCCTTTAAGCTGGCCGTACACTGGTAGATTTTCATATGAAAGCGTATACAAAAAATCTGGCCTGAACATTTGTTCATTTCATAACGCATTCAGAGACTTGACAAATATTTTACATTCTGATTGATTTTAACATTTGAATTTGGAATGAATGAAGTTTCCTCAAAAAGGAAGTATATTAATCTTATACAATATTAAATAACAGTAATATTGCTACCATGGGATAGGGCACATTGTACATGGCTATTGCAACACCACTGGCCCTAGGGTTAGGATGCTCCCTATGCAGTGGCCATGTACAAAAAGTTTCCATCCCTTTGTTTACATGTGAAATATGCCCGATTAAATTTTGTTGATGATATAAGGGTGAACTTCCACTTGAATATTATTGAGTGCAGCAGTATAGCCCAGAGAGAAGGACCACTTGTCCTTAGTGTCCACCCTGTTCTAGGCAGGGCATGTACAGGCATCATGGTGTGCCTTCCAGTAAATGGTAGGCAGTGAAATGTCTCAGGATGCCTGAAAAGAGCAATGTCATTATCAGATGCTGACAAAGCATGTCTGCAAACTTTGCTGAGTCCCTGGCTATGATCAGACGTGTCAGTCTCAATACATATTTGGCTTACAGTGAGGGGATCCTAGCATACCCTGTATAAAGGAAGTAGCATACTGGAAAGCTAATGAACATGAAATCATGCAATCTTACAAATTATGGCACATTCAGGCAGTGCGGTTTAGAAGAATAGAAGCAGTAACAACAATGCAGCCATCTTCTGGTCACAAACAGACTTACATGCCAGGCAGATTGGGAGTTGGCATTGGACATCACAGTCTTCTTTATTTCTTCCAGAACAGGTCCAGAGAAGGGCGCACGGGACTGTATGAGCTGCTTGAACTGAACTTGCCTTAACAGCACCAACAATGGTGGCTGCTCCGGACAGCTCTTTATTCCCTATTAAAGGACACAATTACATGACAAGAAAGTCTAAACAAATTCTGCCAATGCTTTCATCATTATCATCATTCAGTGATAGAAAAGTAATCTTACACAGAGAAATATAGACATTACCAATTGCAGTGATCATCATGAGTGTGTAATCTCAGGATAGGTGAAGTTGGTATTCCTTTTTAGAATTGTAAGCTGCAGTGCCACCTGCAATAAGTGTTACTAATTCCTTCACAGCACTTTAGAGGTGTGAAATGGGACACAGACAACAATAAAAACCTGGCAATAAAAAGTTTGGCTTTGGTGGCACTTTAATTCCAGTTACTGTACACAGATGCAGGATAGTGTTCAATACGGGTCTTATTTACTGCTGTGTGCAACTTTATGGAAAACTATGTGTTCTTCCTTCAACCGCAAAAAACATAGGTATCTGCATTTCACTTTACATGCCAATTACGGAATATTGCATTTGTCTGAAATGAGTGGACATTTCTGTACCATTATAAGTCTGCATAAATTGTCACAATATACAGCATCGTATCATTTTTCAAAAATGTGCATCTTTTATCAATAAAGACACACTTCTTGAGCTCCAGTCAGTTATTTAGTCTAGGCTAAAATGTCATCAGTTTGCTGCAGGCAGGAGGAAGCATTTCCTCAGTCTACTTTCCTCCAGTGAACAGATTCCAATACTATAGCAAGTCACTAGTTGCAGTAGGGGCTGTTCTGTATTTGAGATTTGGAAATGCAGCCAGGAACTGCACAGGCACCAGGATTTACCGGATTATGAGCGCTACTGCTCATAAACGTGCATAAACTTCCAAACAATGTGCAGTACAAACTATGAGCAGTTGCGCAGTGCACACGATGTATCAATTCACTTATTTATAGCACAGCAGCTGACACTGTTTAGTGTAATCATTGGATTTACTTTAGGAGAATATTTAGCACAGCACATTTATATATATATATATACACAG